AACTTTTTTTAAAATCGATGATTAGGCACAGGTTCATATCGCATTTTGTTTTGGGTTCCATCTTGACTTCCTTTGCTTTTTGGAATATATTATTCCATCCCTTCTGTAGTTACTGGTGGATGCAAAAGTCTTACATTATTTGAATTTCCTTCCCTTTATATATGGTGTTTCTCTTAGCCACTTGCGCAATTTGTCATTAAAATTGTTTATTTTAACCACTGTATGTCTTGCAATTTGAAGCATGAGTTTTAATTATCCTTCACTTATTTTTATTTCCAATCTGTTATTCTCCCTTTGACTTCTTTGGTGAGGTTTACTACTGTGGATTCAAATTGTTTTTTTTTTTAATTTTACTAATTATTTCTGCTCTTCAGGCCATCATTTTATTCCCTTCTAAACTCTCTCAAGATTCTGATTTTTTTCTTCAACTGTTTGAGAACATCCTGCTGTGGTTCCATGCTCTCTTGGGAAGCCACGAGTTTCCATGGTTCATCAGGTGTTGGCTCAGTTTCTTTTGTTTCATAATATTTATTCAAAGACATTTGCAATCTTTCAATGTCTAGGTGCTTGCCTTCTAATCTTATTCTTTTCTCTATTGATTAATTTACTTGTGCTCCAGGTTTTACTAACTGAATTTTTTTCTTTCTGATATCTTTGGTGTTTTTGCTGCTGTTGTTGTATACCTCTGTCTTTCAGACTTCCCTCTTTGATGTTGGCTTTACCACTCCTCCCCCCCCCCAGCCAGGGCCCTTTTCCTATTTTGCCTCAGTCCCTGACCCAAATATTTTTTGGGGGGATAGGGCTGGCCCCAGATGGATTCAGTTACTTTTCCTTCAGGCTTGGTACAGCCACTTATGTTGGCCCCCTGTCCCAGGTCCCCGTGTTCTTTTTTTTTTTTTTTTGGTGAGGCATTGGGGGTTAAGTGACTTGCACAGGGTCACACAGCTAGTAGGAGTCAAGTGTCTGTCTGGTCTGAGGCTGGATTTGAACTCAGGTCCTCCTGACTCCAAGGCGGGAGCTCTATCCACTGCTCCACCTAGCTGCCCTTCAGGTTTGCCTATTCTTAAGTTCTCTGGCTTCACCAAGGCTATGTCTGCTATATATTCTGGGAGGAGTTTCTGGCAGCTTTAGGATTCTCTAAAGTAGGGGGCTGCCTCAGTCAGAAAGAAAGTGTAGTTTTACCTTCCCCCGTTCTTTTCTTTTTTCTGCAAGAGTTGAGGTTCACTGCCTGTTGTATCAGGATGCTGGGGAAAGGGCAGGCTAGCATGTGCCAGCAGAGACTGAAGCGGGAGGGAAATTCCTGGGGTGGATCCACATGTAAAATTCATTGAGTACACCGTGTTGGATCATGAAGGCTGGTAGAGGAGGGGTGCTGAGTAAGTTAGTTAAGGATTAGCATAATCTACTGCTAGAAGTAAAATAAATAGCAAGCATTTACAAATTGCCTACTATGTGCCAGGCACTGTGTAAGCCCTTTACAAATATTATATCTTATTTGATCCTCGGAACAACCCTGAGAGATAGATGTGCCCATTTTACAGTTGAGGAAACTGAGGTACACAGGATAAGTGACTTGGCCACAGCTAGTAAGAATGCGAGGCTGGATTTCAACCTGGTCTTCCTGACTTTCTTGGACTTCTTCCTTTTTTGTTCGGAGGGAATACTGATAATTGTTCTACCTCTGGCCCATGATTCCTCTCAGTTATTATTTGTTTGTTTTTTGAGTTAATGGGGATTGGAGAAAATGTCTAGTCTTCCAGTTTATTCCTCACAACCAATCTGACCTACTCACCCTTCTCTTTTTAAATCATTCCTTTGTCCCTGTGGTCATTTTATATGCACTGCTGTGGTGCTGATCTATTCCCACTAGTTCTACCCTCAGTCTCATTCTGTTACCACTTGCCTATCCTAACCTAGCTTCTTTGAATTTACTTACATTGTTAATTTCTCTCTTTACCTCTTTCTCTTTTTCTTGTTATCTAATCTCAACTGAACTCTCATTTCAGCAAGACAATCTTTTTTACTCCTCCTAAATTGATTCTTTATTCCATTTCTCGAAGAGGCTGTTTGAGATTTTCTTTTCTCTCCCCTCTCATACACGATCCCCTCCTCCACCTTCTCAGTCAAGAACCCATCCTTACACTTTACTGAAAGAAAAAATAGACTACTCACCATGAGCACTTATTTCCTCCTCTATATTTCAGAGCCCCTTTCCTTCTTCTTTAACTCCATTCTCTGAAGAAGAGATGATTCTTTTCCTTGCCAAGACTAACCCCTCATCGACATGTACTTTTGACCCATCCTTTCTTATCCTCTCCAGCAGATCGCCCCAGCTGTTATCCTTACCCCCAAACCCCAATCTTCTATCTCTTTGTGGCTCTGCTGATCCTTGGTGGCTGCCTATAAATATGCTTGAGTCTTTATGGTGAGGGAAAAACCCTCACCACACCCTCATCACCCCATATCATCCCTTATCATGTTTTAAGCCAAACTCTTAGAGAAAGCTGTTTCCATTTGTAGCTTCTACTTTCTCCTCTCTCAACACTTCTTAACCCTTTGCAGTCTGGCTTCTGACCTCATCATTCAACTGAAACTGTTCTCTCCAAAGTTATAATCTCATGACCTTCTCTCATTTCTCATTCTTTTCTACCACCAGCAGAGTGGATTACCTTCTCTGGGCTCTGCTCCCTCTTGGTGTTCCTCCGACTTGTCTCAGTCTCCCTTCTCTACGTCTCTCAGTTCTCCTTTATTTTTCTTTTCCTCCTCCTCCCCTTTCTTTCTCTTCCCTTTTAGTCCTTGTGCCTTGATCGCCTCCATGTTGTTGAAGGGCTCTTTTGTTGTCGGTTAGGTTCAGTTTTGTAGGATTTCTTACTTTGGATTCCAGCTGAGGTGTTTTTACTCTCTCTATTTCTTCTTCCAGTTTCTCCTGACTGAGGAGTCCCCTGGATTGTTCCCATTGCCTTTCATACTGGAAAGTCTTTTTACTGGATGCTGGTGAAATATCTTGTCATTGTGAAGCTTAACCATTGCAAGCTTTGTTATTTTAAGCATAGGTTTCTTTTTGCGGGTGGTGATCTGTGGATTTATGTTGCTTAGTGCTTTTTTTTTTACGTGTTTTTAAGGTTTCCTATGTTATTTAAAGTGGCTTTTTCCCTTGTACAGTATTTCTGAGATCTTATGTAATCAGCTTTGAATATTGGTTTATAATTCCTTTTTTTGTTTTGAGGCTTTGAGATTGGAGGGGAAAAAAAGCTTTGTATCAATCAATAAGCATTTATTAAATGTTTACTATGTGCCAGGCACTATGCAAGTGATAGGACAGGGATAGGGACAGACCACTGACTTCACTGATACAAGGATCTCCTGGCTGAGGAAACTCCTTCTACCAATGCAAGTCTGAAACTTCTCCATAGCTCATAGTCTTAGAAAGTTGCCTGGAGCCCTGAGAAGTTCAGTGACTCCCCCATTCAAAGACCAAAATGAAACAGCATCTTCCCTCAAGGAGCCTTATATTTTCTTGGAGGAGATTATATACACACATACGTATACACACATATATGTAGGGGTGTGTGTGTTTATCTCTTTCTCTCTCTCATTGTATTTTTTGCTGGGAGGCAGCAACAGTGTGGGAGACGAGCAAGGGCCTTGCTTGGAGGTGGCATTTGAGCTGAGCTTTGAATCAGTCAACAAACTTTATTAAACAACTGCTATGTGCCAGACACTGCTGGAGATATAGAGAAAAGTGAAACAGTCCCTGCTCTCAAGGAGCTTATGATCAAATTGATTGTATGTCAGGAACAGTAAATTTGACTGGATTGTATAGTATGTGAGGAGGAGTAATACATGTGTACATGCACACATGTAATCATGCACATATACACAGACACACATGTGTTATACATACACATGTGTATGTACACACATCACACATATATGTATATATAAATGCTGTGGGGTGTGTGTGATTGTGTAAACATGTATATGCATGTAACATGTATCATGCCTACATGTACAGGCATGGTTATATAAATTATATAAATATGATAAATTATTTTTATACTTTACCTGTAATATAGCTGGAAACATAGGTTGGTGCCACGTAGTAAGGGCCTATAATGCCAGAGAAGTTTGTATTTGATCCTAGAGAGGCATTAAAGAGTCACTGTAACTTATTGAGAAAGTGAAATGGTCAGGCCTGTGTTTGTGGAACTAGCTCATCCCCTGCTGCCATGTTCTGATGAACATTGAGGCAGCACTTCTGGTGCCGCCTGTTGCAGGGGGTGCTTGCACGTGGTGCGATTATTACTTACCCTTTATCTTTCTGTTATAGAGTGATGTTCCAAAATTGCCCTGTTGAGTAAAGGGCCTGAAGACTCAAGAGTCTTTTCCTGTCCCCAGGACATCTAGAGCTCAGATGACTTTGGACAAACCACAACCTTTATATCTTGGTTTCCTTACTGGCAAAATGAGAATAACAATCCCTGCTTAAGTTGGAGGGATGTTATGAGAAAGTGAAAATAAAGACCAGAATATGGTGCTTTGAGCAATGAGTAATAGAAATGTTTTCATTATTACTAAGCTGAGGGTGGTAGTGACTAGTGGGATGTAGAGGAAAGAGCCTTGTCTTGGGAGTCAGGAAACCTGGATTTGAGTCCTGCCACTAATCGCCTTTGTGGCTTCAACCTGAGAGATCACTGCGTCCCTCTGGGGCTCAATATACTCTCCTTATAACAACATGGTGAGGCAGTATATTTTGTGGATTTTTTACAAAAAGGCTCAGAAAAGTTAAGCAACTTGATGCCCTTCACCCATGAAGGTAAGTGTTAGAAGCAGGACTTAGCCTCAAACCTTCTAATGTCAAGACATATGTTCTTTCTGGTAAACCCGACTGTGTCTAGGATTCCTCCCATCTCTACAAGTCTCTGTATCAGTGACTCTATCTTTGGCGACGCAGAAGTGGCCAGCCAGCAACATCTTAGCATTTATCTTTGTTTTTTCAGTGACTCTCCTACGAAGCAGAAAGCCAAGATGGATGACATTGTTGTAGTAGCCCAAGGAACCCAGGCCTCAAGGAGTATCAGCAGCGATCCAGATGTCATCAAATTACAGGAGATTCCAACCTTCCAGCCCCTTTTGAAAGGTGAGGGCTTTTGTTTCCTTTCGTATTTCTGGAGAGGAAGCAAGTGTAGGGATAGAGCTTGGCCTTGAAGAGGGGAGGGCCAAGGTTTGACCGTTGACCTTGAGCAAGGCATTTAGCCTCTCTTTGATGTAGTTTCCACATTGTTGAAATGAGGGGGTTGGAATAGATGGCCTCTGGGGTCCCTTCTAGTTCTAGAGCTATCCTGTGACCTCAGATTTTTCCTGGGGAAGCCACGGAATTTCAAGACTGATAGAGCTCTCCGAGGCTGTCTCATTCAGTTTGTACCTGAAAATTCCCTCTACAACATAGGTTCCAAGCTCGCTGGAATTTGAATATGGCCAGTGGAAGGGAACTCACTTTCCCCTTGAGGCATCCTGTTCCACTTTTGGCAGGTCTAGATGTTAAGAAGTTTAACCTTAAATCAAGTTGAAATTTAGTTCTTTTAACTTTCACTCCAGTGCTTCCAGTTCTGCCTTCTGGGTCCACACAGACTAGCATAATATGGAGTCCTGATTCCAACTCTGGAATCCTGTGACCTGGATTTGAATCTTGTCTTTGACACTATTAACTTTGGACAAATTACTTATAATACTAACAATAATAATAATGGCTAGCATTTATATGGTGTTTTAAGGTTTGCAAGTTGCTTTACAATATTATCTCATTTGATCCTCACAACAAACCTGGGAGGTAGGTGCTATTATTATCCTCATTTTACAGATGAGGAAACTGAGGCCAGTAGAGGTTCAGGGACTTGTCCAGAGTCACACAGGTAGTAAGTGCCTGAGGCAGGATTTGAACTCAGATCTTTAAGATTCCAGAGGCTGTGCTCTGTTCACTGTACTACCTAACTACCTTTTAACCTCATTGGTCTTTACTTTCTTTATTTGTAAAATGTGGAGGTCAGACTAGATGCCTTCTTAGGCTCCTTTCAAATCTAGATCTATGGTCCTGTTTTCTCCTTCCATGTGAAAGCATTTCACATACTTGAAATCAGGTGTCATGTTCCCCACCATCCCCCTTTTCTCCAAGGTAAAGACCCTTACATGGGACAATCAGAGGGTTTACCTTCTGATCAGTTCTACTGATTGCATGCCTGGACTCAAAAAGTCGTTACTGGCTGCTTGTTCACTTGAAAGGAAGGCTCCAGTTGGAATGTCCACAGGGAACTGTCCTTGGCCCCATACCGTTTAGCATTTTTATCGATGACTGGGATAAAGGTGTAGATGGCACGCTTGTCAGATCTTCAGACAGCCCAAAGCTGATTCCCTGGCTGCTAGAGTCAGGATACTAAAAACTCTTAACAGGCGAGAATACTGGGCCCAGTCAATTAAGATGATATTTGATAGGGCTAAATATAAAGTTTGGTTCCAAAAATCAGCTTCACAAGGATAAGATGGGGGAGGCAGCACTAGAGAGCTGTTCATCTGAAAAAGAATAGGGGCAAATTTAGCAAATGACAAGCCTGGTATGAATCAACAATATAAGGGCCGAAAGAGTGCCTATAATCTTGGGCTGAATTAAGGGCAGCAAAATGTGCAGAATAGGAGGGGATGAGTGTTGCGTTTTATTCTAAATGCTGTTGTATTTAATTATCCACACTGAAAAAGGTGGAGAATATACAGAAAGTAATAGTCTAACCCCCGGTCATTATTACCTTTGTGATCTTTCTTAATTTCTGCGGTCGTCAGTTTTCTTATCTGTAAAATGAGACGTTTGGATTAGATGGCCTCTGAGTTTTAGCTCTAGATCTGTGGTTTTATGGTTCATCCAGCTGGCTTTCCTCCTCTTTCAGTATTGTTTCTTCATTGCTTCCTCCCCTTAGTGGGTTTTCCCTCTCTTGGTTAATCTGAACTATGAGCTGATTTACTCCATTGGTTAGAGCATCGATTCATTCAGTCCCTTTTGCAAAAAAGAGCAGGTTCTTTATAAGGAAAGCTGAGTGCCACAGAATTGACTGTTTTAAATTGTGCTGAAAAAGAGTTTTGAGAGTCCTTTGAACAGCAAGGAGATCAAATCGGTCAATACTTTTAAAAAATTAATTCAGACTTTTCACTGGAAGGTCAAATACTGAAGCTGAATCTTAAATACTTTGGCCACATAGTGAGAAGATGGGGCTTGTTGAAAAGACCCTGATGTTGGGAAAGATTGAAGGTGAAAGGAAAAAGGGATAGCAGAGAATGAGACAGATATCATGAAAGCAACGAACATGAACTTGGACAGACTTCAAGAGATAGTGGAGGATGGAAAGGCCTGGCCTGATATGGGCCATGGGGTGCCAAAGAATGGACAGGACTGAATGACTAAACAACAGATGTTACCAAGCATGACACACATAGCACTTTGTTTTGCACCTGTCTGATGTACTGATGTATTATTTTTTCTTTTTATTGTGGTTCTCTTTCTATTTGTGATATCCTGCTACTCAGTTGTAAACTTTCTGAAGGCGGGGAGCTTATCTAAATTTTGTATATTTCCCTTCATGCACACAGAGTGCTTTGTAAGCAGTACCATGTAATAAATGTTGAATTGTAGAATGAACTTTTGCCTATAGACTACATTTATAGTTCTTTTTGTTTAAGGATATGTGGGTGGCTCCACGTAAACCATAAATCCTACAGATTAGCTCACTCCTTTCTGATGACGTAAGTTAGAATCTCAGCTCTACCACTGACTGCCTTTGTGAGTCTGGGCATATCACTTAACTTCTCGATGCCTCTGTTTCCTCCTCTGTAAATTGAGGAATGGGACTGGAAGACCTCTAAGGTCTCTTGGGACTCTAAATCTAATTGTATTTTCTCTTCCACTAGCTAGAATGATTGAAACTTTACTATATGAGGTTTCCTTTGTAGGGAGTCTTTTTTTTTTTTTGGCCTTTCAGAGCTAAAGAAAAACAAACGTCCTTGGTTACTGAACTCATGGCATATTTTAAGGGACTTTTCTTTCTTACCACTATCAACCCTGACCAAATGACCAAAGAGTCACAGAGGTCATGCAACCATTTTAACTCTGGGGAAAAAAAAACACAGAGCTCACACAAGTTATCAAAACCACAGTTAACTAAAAAATAAAATAAAACTAACAGTGATTATAGACAAAAAACTTTCTTTGTGCCATTGGAGGAGGGAAACTAGACACGTATGTGCCTGGGGGGCTCCCCTAGCAGGCGGCCCGGTTTAGTGTAGACTGATCTCAATCCTTATCCCAATGGCTATGCAGTGAGCAGTAGCCCTGACAGTGGAGGGGTGACAGCAACAATGAGACAAGTTTGATTTATAGCAGGACTTCATGACCAGAACGTGGCTACTACAGGTGCTCCAAGCTCAGAGACCACCTGGTGTTGGTGTGAAACAGTTCCGGGATTTTGCTGGGGCTGAGTTCATCCAGAGGGTGAGTGCCAAGGATTGTTGTTATGCTAAGCTCAGGGCACAGGTTGCTTGCTGGGCCTTAGCTCTGGAAAATAGGATGTCTCGTAATAGTAAAAAGAGATGAGTAAACAGAGAGGGATGGTTTCGGCATGAGGATTCTGACACCGCATTGGCCTCTTGGCAAAGATTTTGATAACCTCTATTGACAAATTAGACTAGACCAGATGTCAGCATCCTGTGGCTTGAAAGCTGGGTGTGACTTTTTAAAAGACAGGATTGTGGTATGGTTGTGACCCTGGCTTCTGAAAGTCTGGAGCTCTGATGGGTCTCAGTAAACTGGAAGTGTGGGCTTTATAACCTGAGTGTTATGTCTGTTGTCCAAGGACTAGCTTAGCTTAATCCACAGAAGCTTATTATTCAGCTGGCTACAGGGTGATGCCTCCCCCCCCCCCACCCCATTAGTCACAGGAGTTCACACACATTGTCTTTTGTGGCATAGAAGGAAATGGCCATTGAATTATGGTCCTTGTAATATTAAAGTAATTAACATCTGGCTAGTTAACTTCCCATATTCTTCTCTACCCCTTTTGTGAGTAAATTCATTTTTCCGAGCAAAACAGTAAATAGAATTCAGGGAAATTATACCTAAAATTCCATGGCTCTCAGGGAAAATCTGAGGTCACAGGATTATAGCTCCAGAACTAGAAGGGAGCCCAGAGGCTATCTATTTCAACCCCCTCATTTCAACAATGAGATAACCAAGTCAGAGAGAGGCTGTGCCTTGTCCAAAATCACATAGCTCCTAAGTGTTAAAGGTGGGATCTGAACTCAGGTCGTCCTGTGTCCAAATCTGCATTCTGTCCCCCACACCTTGCTTCCTTTCCAGAAAGACCAAAACACCTCTATGGTATGTGAATATATCGTATAGTGAGAAACTAGGAGTATGAGGAATTCAGAAAAAAAAGGATTTATATGAACTAATGCAGATTGTAACAAGCCAAACCAAGGGAACAATATATACATCTGTAATAATATAAATGAAAGTTGAAAAGACAGTTGAAAGCTCTAAAGAAAGTTGAGCTCTGAATAAGTGAGAAACCAATAAACATCCTGGAGAGCATAAATACAAAAACATAAATCACCTCATAAAAGATGTAGGGTGATTCCTCTTTTGTGTGTAAAAAATTGATGGTCTAAAGAGACAAAACTTTTTTTTATTAAACTAATAAAATGAGAGTATGAAGAAGTGATTTTCAAGAATACAGAGTGAGAATGAACACTGTTTTGAGAAGTGACTAAGGGCTGGAGCTGTAGGATGTATTATGACCCCTTGGCTCATTTGCCTTTCGTTGTTTTAAGAGGGCAAAACTCACAGAATTAAAATTCATTCACTAGTTAGAAACTGAGGGGTAATTAAATATGAATTGTTGATTTTATGGGGGATTTAGGTGGTTGTTACCTCATAAGTGAAAGGTGAGTCACTGAGTCCCTGAAGACTGATTTCAACCATTGAAATAGGTGAAGTCTGCTGGCAGAGGCTGAGGGTGGAAGAATTGGATAATGTGGCAGGAGGCAAAGACTCACTGGGGCCCCCCAAACTTTGTATTAGCTATTTGAAGAAAGCAGTTAGAG